GAAGTGCCCATAAATCTGGCACTAACACCAGACAGCAGATAAATTATCTACAACTAGCAAAGTATACATTAGGGCTTGGCTTAGCTTAGGGAAATCTCTCTAAACGTCCTTAAATCCGAAGATCACTAAAATAGGATTACAAAATCAAACCAGTGTTAAAAAATCTCTGTCTTCAACCATTTAGAAAATCGAGACAATTCGGTTCGAAGATTTGGGTCCACCAAGACGGGTCGATAGCACAAGAGATTTTGGAGATTATATAAATTTTTTTATGTTTCTTGTAAAATTAAACCCTTTTTCCAAACAACCAAAAATGTTCCACGGCACATATAAAATAGAGCAGCACAAAACAAAGCCAATTCCTAAAGAAATACGGCAAAATTTCAAAATTGGTCCTATAACTTGGCCACAGTCCAAAAAATCACCTCTATATTGACCACTTTCAATTTCGGTCCTATAATTTGTCAATTTCATCATTTCTGGTCCTTTTTTATCCCAACCCCAGATTAAAGGCGTCACGTGGCATTTTTTTGTCTGACGTGGCGGCTTTATTTGTATTTAATAATTTATTTATGCCATCTAGGGAATTATTATACTCATGTGGAAAACAAAAAAAAAACCTAAAAATAGAAAATTATATTAAAACCAAAAAGAAAATATTAAAACAAAAAAAAAGTAGATCAAAGAATTGGCTTCCCCCATCCCAACGTCAACACCAACATCCCGGTCCAACACCAGCTTCAGCTCGCCGCCGGACTTCCAACATACAGACCTTAGCCAAGAAGTTCGCGGCGTCCAACACCACCTTCTGCCCCGCCGCCGGAATTCCATTGTAAACCATAGCCCAGCAGCTGCAGCCGGCGAATCTGGGCAAAGCCATCCGTCGACTGCACATCCCTTGTGCGAGAGCCCGTCTACCAGCCGCTCGTTTAGCGTCCAGCAACAACGCCTCCACCGCCGCGGTCAAGGTCGCCATTTTCAAGAGCCAGTCGTGTTCTTCTTGATACCCGACGGAAAAACGGGTTGCCGTAAAAGTCGTCGGATTCGGAGATGCTGGACATTGTTGGGTGCACGACGGTCTGAGGAATCCAGAAGTGTCCTCAGATTTCGGTGGGTCGCGGTACATCGCCGGAAAATTGATGAAGAAAATCGAATTTTGACCGGATTTTCTAGATCTAAATACTTTGACCAGGCAATTAACAGCTTTACTAGTGGAATTTTTTGCCGAAAATGTTAGAATGTGAACAAGAACAAGAAGAGCTTCAAGATGATAAAAAAAAAAATTTAATCGGATGTGGTCGGCCGGCGGCGGCGGCGGGCGGAGGAGGCGGGGCGGAGGAGGAGGGCCAGATGAATAAAGACGACATAAATGATGTGGATTTTTAAATTTTAAGTAAATATTTCATTATCCTGCCACATAAGCTATAGTCACGCCACGTCAGATTTAAAAAACGCCACGTCATATTTTAATCTGGGGTTGGGATAAAAAAGGACCAGAAATGATGAAATCGACAAATTATAGGACCGAAATTGAAAGTGGTCAATATAGAGGTGGTTTTTTGGACTGTGGCCAAGTTATAGGACCAATTTTGAAATTTTGCCAAAGAAATACATTATCCAAATGTTGAACTTAATATGTACAAAATAAAACACAAGATAATACATTATAAGCATATACATGTTGACTAACAAGAATAGTATTATTAAATAAGAAATGAAACGTTAACTATGTTATCATCATACATTACTAAATTTATGCAAATGTTAAAAATAATTATATAACAGTATAAGACAAAGTAATATATACATATAGTTTTATTATATGGATATAGATTTTTGAATAAAAGAATAGTACTATTAAATATGAGATATTCGTGAAACTTTATATTGTCAAAATTTGTACATATGTTGCAACTATTATGTACAAATTAAAGATGATATATATAAGATAAAATACACACATATAAACGTATGAATGCTTTGAAATTAATTATTTATTTTGAATCCTCAGTCGGGTGCGATTCTGTTATTTTAGTTTTGGTTTGGTCTGTTCGNTAATCAAATGGTGAACAAATATTTTTCAATTCAACATTAGCTTGATTTAGTTTTCTGAACAATTCAATATTTAAATCAATGATTCACATTGATCATATGTTGACTAGTCAAACATCACTAAAAGCATTACAATATCACTCCAAAAGTAAAGAGTAAATAGAGATTCACTCTTCTTTTCATCTTTTTCTTGAAAATCCAAGAACCGTCTGCACATGCAATTATTGTTTCCTTGGGATCCAATAGTGAAATTTGGGTAAAATTACAAAACATGTCTAATAATTTTAAAATATGTTAAATTTGCTCCATTAGAAAATGCTGTGTAATGAACAAAAAAATGGCACAATATGTCTAATATACGGTAAAATACCCACCGACCAGTTTTAAAGAATGACTACTAATTTGGAGTACATTGTCTTTGTTTGTCACGTAACGGATAACTAATAACTAACTAGTTAATTTTGCAAAGTGCTTTGTAAATAATTAGATGTTTGGTACGCATAAATAATTAGTTTTAAAATCCCTATTCCAAAAACTCATACGTTGAGTTTTTTTGAAATAATTTTTTTGGATTAAAAGATGTTAAAAAAAAACTATTTTGAACCGTTAATTACCAATCAATTGAATATTAGAGATTATGATAGGTAAAATACTAAAATCACAAATCTACCTCAAACCTCTAATTTAGTCCCAAAATTCAATCTATCAAACAATCACTTTTTATCGCGCATTATTCAATTTTGAAAATTATGAAAGAAATTTGTCACCTACCCAAAATTACTAATAAGTGTATTTTGCAAATTTTCCTATAATTTATTTCCCTTAAAGAACCAATTAAAATCTTAGACCGAAAAAAAAAATAAAAAAAATTGACAGAGTTAAAACTCAATTTAAATGTCTGAACTCGTATCATGTCGCCACTGTGCAAGGATCTAAAGTCCAATGCGCGTAAGTCCAACAAATACCACAAATCATATGATGAATGAAGAACAAGATACAATATTTATAAATGAAAAAAAAATTGGTATCACGAAATTGAAGATCAAAAATTAAAATTATTTTATCACGCACGAGAATGACTATGCACATTCATTGTAATGTGATTGCATTCTGGAAAACTGACCACAACAAACCAAACAAATGATAATTAATAGTCATAAAACTGTTTGTCAAAATAAAATCTCTGAAGGGCAAAGGGATCAGTGAAAATTATTTGATTATTTCCTTTCCCATTCAAGAAAATAATTTAATACTTGGAAAATGAGCGAAAGGGCGGAAAAAATTAATTATTTTTATAAGAAAAAAATAATTAATTACACGGTCTAATTGAATATCAAACTACAATCAAAATTTTCATTAGAAATTTTAACACAGATTGAGTTTCAATTCAATGTTGTGATTAAGGCAGAAGTAAAAAAATTGACCAGACATGAAGAAGAAAACATGGTTCTTTAAATGTGTAAATGACAAAAGTGTGACAGTGATTAAGGGCCTGATGAATGGGAAAAAATATTACAGCTTGGAATAATTGTCCCTTTCTTCTTAAGATCCCGACATGGAAAGCATATTTACAGGTTTTAGTGGGATCTTTGGGACCAGTTACCTTTCAATCTAGTCAATTCAAATTCCTTTCTTTTTTATTTTATTTTTTTAATAGCATTATTAGTCACCATCTTTTCTTTTCATCCTTTTAGGTAGGTATTTTGAAATGCTGGGTGACTGGATACAGATCTATCATTATATTAAAAGATTAATCATTTAACACTTTTAATAAGTTTTTCTCGCCAAATACATTTAATGTCTCCTAAAATAGAGCAGCATTAAATGTTGCCCTTAAATCATGGCAATTGTTAATTTAGTTTGGAGAAAATCGTGGCAACTAAAACAAACAACATTAATTACGGCTGATTTAATATTTAAATGGTAAACAAATATTACTTTTTTATGACTGATTTAAATTTACGTCTGTTTAAAAGTAAAAAACTACTTTTGTAATTTCAACAAATTTGTACTCTTTAATGTAAGGCTGATTTAAAATTAAGAATTTACTTTTGTATTTTCACAAAAAATCGTATAAAGAAGTATGACTAGAATAATAATAAAAAATTAATTTATTAAACCATATTTTGCACTCATAGATACGAATTCTCATCAAATTCAAGATTTAAAATTGTGAAGAATGTATATAGATGTGGACTGATTGAAGATATATGATTCCTTAAATTAAGGAATTTTTTCCGGTAAAAAAAAAATATAAACTTTAAATATAGATTTTATTAGTAGTGTATACCAAAGAATATTGTTACATTTAAAATTCCTATGAAGAAGAATTCTATTAATTTTCAAATTCAACATCTCATAAAAATAATATAATACATTTTTACATTCTATGAAACAATATTTAAAACCCACCGTTCAACATGCATAAAATGTAAATTACCTAACATGAATCATTTTAACTTTCTAAAATCAGTACACAATTTGCTCGGTATGTACTAATAGTCTAATAGTTAAGAGTTAATATTTGCTATGACATCTATTGGTTGGAAAGAATTCCATTTTGTATGGAATTCGAAATGAAAAAACATATTCTGAAAATCAAATCTGGTTTAGAGATCGATTTCTTAATGACCTTAAATTATGCAAATATATAGTTTCAGTTTTTAGGATTCTTTTTTATGATCTCAGTCTTTGCATTATATGAAATCTATACTTATATAAAAAGTCATCCTATTTACTAGAAATAGTAGGCAGAAAAGTCAAAGGTAATTAATGCTTGCTGGAAATAGAATGATATTAATTACAGATTTGTTTTGGCATTTATAGGCTTGACATTAAAGATTTTTTATAGGATAAAAATTAGAACTGATTTTCTTACCTTTGCTGAAAAAGTCGAAGGTAAGTATAGATTTGTTTTATCCCATAGCATCGGTTTAGTTAAGAAAATCCCATCAAATCAGTTTTATATGTCAAGCCTATGAATAAAGATTTAATCGGTCAAAATTAAATCCTTAATTTACGTCACCCATAAATAAAGTAGATGTCAAGCCTAAATTGAAGGGTTTAGTTGTCTATATAGTCATTGATTTACGTAAATACATCTAATGTTTAAAGTTTGTGTAAATTGAAAATTCCTTCTTATCTTTTTACAAAAAATCTTATTATTATTGTATGAAAAATCAAACTCATAATGTTGTGTACAAGGTGGTCTTTAATAATATATGATTGTTTGTTTGTCGAATACTATCCTATTGTATAATTTTTCTGCGTATTATAAAACTTTTATTGAATATTGCATCTTATAATATAGTATTCCTCAAATAAATATATCTCGTACTTTGCACGGGTCACGTACTATATATATCCCTTACATTTTTCTGTATTCATGTATATAATTATAAGTCTGGATAAATAGCCTTAAAATTGTACATCTCGTGCATCGCACGGGCTCTGTACTAGTTATTTGGAAAAAAAATATGACTGAAAAATAGTGAATGAAGAATAGGAAAAAGTTTTTGGTGGAAGAATAAAATGTTTTCTAGATTATGAAATGATATAAGATAAAATGTGATAAGTAAAATTGATGTGATAAAAATTATAAATGATGTAAATTACTTATATAATAAAATATGTGAGTGAGTGGATATCGAATTGTTTAAAAATGTGTCATAATGATTGATTCTTATTATTTAATTGTATTGATAATATTGTGGAAAAAAATAGGATTATGTGGACAGTAAATTTTAAAAAATAAAATCCAATCGTGGTACTAATAAAAAAGTAATCCAGCCAGATGAATAAAAAATAATTTATATTCATTGCCTTAGTAAAATATTCTAATAATTCACTTAAATTGTCATTTTTTTTTATTTTATTTTTTTTTTGTGCTTATTATTTGTTCTCTCTGTCTCTGCTAGTTCCCTTTTCATTTGCACAACACATCATAATTTTATTAATTTTGGAATCCACATAAAATTTGAAAGCATGGAGAAAATAACAATTCGAGGCAATATGCGAGGTACAAACAAAACTAGAAATGGTCCTAAGTTATCCTTGATGGGTGAAACAAAATGATAATAACACTTCCACAGTGCAATTTTTTTTGAAAGCCAAATCAGACCATATGTTTTCTCGTGCCATATTATCTCATCTATTTACACTGTTCTTGAATTACTGGTGACAATTATTCACCATGATAATAAATTTTATGGCTTGATATTCATTAGTTGAATCAAATTTCATGAATAATCATTAGTCCCATGTAATCTCGTGCCTTATTATCTCATCCATTTTTTTTCCACTTATGGTCCCCCAATTTTTCACTATTTGCAAAAAGAAAGAAAAAAAATACAGTAAGCAAATTCAAGAGGACTCCCGGAGTAATAGCTACTAATCATCACAGCCTGATTGCATTTTGTCATATTGACAGCACATAACATGAATATTTCATTTGTTCTCTTTCAACATTATTTTCTCTGATCAAAGCAAAACACCCTTCAAAGGCTCCACTAACATGCATATCACACAAATGTAACAAACACAAGAGTCCAACTCTGATTCTTCACAGACCTGTATTCAGAAAAAAATAAATAAATAAATAAAAATAAAAAGAAGAATAACAAATATTTTCATATTTTGTTTTGAAAGATCTCATGAGAGACATATGCCTAAAATGGGCTACCTGTAGAGTCACGATCATCGCGTTTTGCTCATGGAAACATCTCACTCGTTTGGACCAGCAATACAACTCATTAACTTAATGCACGTCCTTTGCAAACGAAAAAATCGAACAATAGCAACAAAGACTGCCATACTCAAACATGGCCACAACTGGGATGTTCAGTCATTTCCACTTTCTCAAACTTATGTACATATGTGCACTTCATCCAACCGTACAATCTGATTAAATTATAATCATAATTATAATAATGATGGCGATGGTTTAAGTCTTTCATTAACTACTCCCGATTTTAAGTCTGGTAATATAAGGGGCAGCAAAAAACCAAAGCAATGCAGATGCATATGGAAGGTGTAATGTCATGCATAGATAGAAAGCCATTTAATCATTCATATGCAGGGGAAAGGAAAAAATAAAAACACTGCTGGGAAAATCTTGCACAACTAATGATTAGGTTGGATTTCAATGAGGAACACAAGAAGCCAATTTGTGTTCATACTAATGAGATTCTACAAATCAAGTCCATACAAATTTTCGATCACAAATGATGCAAGTAGGTAAGATTCAGAAAATAGTAATATTTACAGCAGCATTCTGTTAGATATATTTTGAAAAAGTAATATTTATAACGGTAAACCACGAAAGAATATTACAGCAGCATTCTGTTAGATATATCAAATTCTCATGCATATTAACCATTAATAGGGGCTATCGTTACTGAATTCAACAATCAAGTAAAATCCTGACATGAGTCACTTACGAGTTACGACACAGGAAACAGAACCATAAAATACCAAAATCTCCGCTTTCATCTCGATAAGTGAATATCAAAGTCTCTAATTCCTGCCCCTATCGAATGAATTTATTCACATTACAAAGTTTCTCGAACAACTTAATCATTTCAAATCCCTTTTTACAACCAACATATCAGAGGATCATAATTCTATAACTGTAGGATTACAAGCTGTGGCAAGCAAATAAGATGGTTCCATCGAAAATTAGACAATCAAGTCACACGACAAAGATAATTTATTGGTTTCAATACCTACAACCTGCCAGATACATAGTAAGTAATACTTCCTGATGAAAAAATATGCACTCTTCATGCCAACAAAAGCCTTCCTAGAAAGCATTTAAAACTAATTGACGGTTGATACTACTGCATCTAACAAAGTACACCCCATCTATGATTTGCAAAAAGGCTCGAACGCAAAATGCAGAAATTACAAAAGAAAACATACCAAGACATCATTATTCATGAATTCATACAAGAATTCAGGACGGCAACCAAATTTTTTTTTTTGCAAATTGTTAGGGGACAAACAACAGAATCAAGAAGAATTTCAAAAGCCATCCTTAAGCCTCAGATTTCCAAGAAAAAACAAAAAATCTTACATCTAACCACTACACAGAAACAGCAGCTTCATCCCCTGTCACGCCCGAGTTTCCAGAGAGAAAGAGATTCAAAACATCAGCGTGATTTTTGATGTGTCTCGGGCATTGCGAAAGAAAGTCCTGTGCCTCGGATTTCCTCCCGGCTTTAAGATAAGCTTCAAATAACCGGATAAACACGGAAGTTGGTGGAAACCTTTTTGACGTCATAGCTTTTAAAAACTCAACAGACTCCTCAGCACTGCCTTTCCTGGAGAGATACTTGACAAAGGAGTCTAAGTCTGGAGGGTATTCTTGCTTCTTCATTGCACTCATGATGTTCAGAGCTTCCTTAAAGTGCTTCTTAGGTAACAGATTTCGCGTTAGTGCCTTGTACGTGGTATTCCATATAGTCACGCCTTTATTATTGGCCATATCCAGAGCAAACTTGTAGGCGTCCATAGGCATATTTTTTTGACAGTATGTACCGATCAAAACATGTAAAGCCTTCCCAGCACAAGTGGGCCCTTCTTTCTCGATCATCTCCCTGAGGCTATTAGATGCCTTATCAAAATCACGGGCCACACAAAATCCTTTAACTAAAGACTCCCATGTTTTGTAATCAGAAGTATCCTTTGAAGCTGCTTTGTTATTCACAAACTCCAGTGCTTCCTCTGATTTGCCAGTACTACTAAGCGTATAAGCAATCTTGCTTCTTGTAGAACCACTGGGCACATAGCCAGCCTCCTCCATGGCTGCCAATATTCTATTGCACTCGTTCAACCTCCCAACACTAATTAAAGATTTCAGAACAGCATTGAAGTTGGCATCTGTTAGTACATTCCCGTTGGCCTTAAAGACCCCTACGACTTTCCGAAACAAGTCCATGTCCAGTTCCTTGCTAACCACTATTTTTTTCAAAAGGAAAGTGCAGTCACTAGCCAAAGGCTTGTTCCCACCAGTCATTGCAAATTCGTACAAATCAACAGCATCTTTCATCATTTTCCGCTTAACAAACCGCTCCAAGATATGAACATAGGTCTCTCTCTCAATCTGGTGCCCGTCACCTCTCATTTCATTAACAAACTTCCAGAACTTCTGACTATGATCTTCTTTAGCCAATACTCTAGCCATTGCATTAAAAGACCGCTCATCGTGCTTAAAAAGACCACTCTCCTGAACCCATCTAAAGAAAATCAATGCTTTATTGGGCTCGGTTCCAAGATTGCCCAACACGTTCACAACCACATCACTCGAATACTTCACATTTGATTCCTGCAGTTTTTTCTCCACATCATCAACCCACACTTCTCTTCTAATAAAATCACTTATCTGAGAACAGGTCAAGCCTACATCATTTTCCTTACTCGGGTTATCCTTCTTACAGCTTGCTGAACCCAAAGCATACAACTCCTTCAGCTTCTCCACATCATCAGCCAGCCCATCTTTCTGGAATCTCTCATAAATGCGATCAAAGGCACCCTTCGACACACCATATCCTTTCCTTTTCATAATTCCAATCATATCCCAAGTTTCCTTCACTAATCCCCTGCTGCCTAAAATCCCTAGCATCCAATTATACGACTTGGAGCTCAGTTTCTCGCCCTGACTCTCCAATACCCAATCAAATACCCGCCTGGCTGCATCAGGATCGGTATTGGGATTCTTCAAGAAGCTCAGTACCAAATCATGAGTAATAACAACGTTTTTTGAATCTAAATCTAGCTTAATCTCGTCACTAGATTTTCCAGGTCTAGCGAAAATGTCCGCCAACAGAGTATCTCCATCGGAGAGAGGCTTTGACGACTCAACGGCGTGCTCAGGGGACGACGAGAAATGTTGACGAAAGACAAAAGGTTTCGGCGTCGCTTGAGGTGCGCGTGGGTGGAGAAATGAGGAAGAGAAGGAGCGGATGTGGACCTGACTTGCGTGGGGCTGCGACGGAGTGCGGAAGCGCGTGAGAAGCAATCGCAGCCACTGATTTCTCATTATAAAATATATGAATTTCGCTCAAGCTGTTTTTTTTTTTCGTTTTCTTCAGAATGGAGCACGGAGAGAAAGGGGGTTTTTGAGATTAGGGTTTTTGGACAGATAGACTGAAGAGGAGAACTAAATTTGTGAATACCGAAAAAACCCCCGATGTTCCAACAAAAAATGAAAAGGAAAAGAGGCCTCAAATGTAAGTACGATCTGAAGTATACAGTAGACAATAGTAACATTTTTATACTGCTGCGTATTGGAATATTAATAGACATGGCACGGGGCCATATTGGGTGGGGATATGGGACCGGAATGGCGTGGGAAATATAAAAAATCTGATGGGCCTGACATCAATTCGGGCCCAATACATGACCAAGCCAATTGGGCCGACTTGGACTGTTTGATCACCAACAGTCACCCTCGAGTGGGTTTCGCCGTCTCGACTCTCAATTGCCATGTTGGGAGGAGGTTCGCTTACTTCCCGGCGGCTTCGCGGTGGTGGGCTGGCGCTTTTTCGGGAGAGGGTTGCGGCCTCGACCTACCTCTTTGTGATGGTCGGGGTAAAGGCAGGGTCGTCTCCAGAAATTTGGAGGTCCCAGACAAATTTTACATTTTCGAATTTTTTGATTTGAACTTGCATGATAGGGTTATTTGTAGATAGAATCATACAAGAAAAAAAGTCTAATTACACAAGACTATTAAATAAATAAATAATAGAAAAAAAAAACAATTTTTCTGTTTTTCTAGACTTTGAAAAAATTACTTTTAATAAATTATAAAATGCATTCAAACAGTCACGAAGACAACAATGAGAAGATAAAAATCATACTACAGCAAAAAATATTTATTTTAGCACAATTTGTTCCGACCGAATATCATAAGAAACAAATAAAATATTTAGGGCCTCAAATTCCTATACAAAGTACATATTTTGGTATTAGCTTCTTCATTAATTAGTCTCTTGATTTGTGTAATGGGCTAAGTTCATATTTAGGCATTAACCCCTTTATTTTTGTAAACTAGCACGTAGCCCGTGCGATGCACTGGATGATATATTTTCTTGAATGTTGAACATGTGAAATATTAAAATTAATATAATTTATATATATGTAACAAAAATAAATGGATAGCGAAGAAGGCAAAAAAATTATAAATTGTTGAATACTTTCTTGTACACAACGTTTTTTGTTTGGGATAACGATTATCTCTGGCTCTTGTTTACAGTCATTGTGTAATAATCCATAACGTCATTGTTTCAAAAGTATGCAGTGTATACTGATATGGCTGCAAATTACGACGTTTATCAAGTAGAATGGTTCCTTGCACAGTACTTGTTGATCTTGTAAAACATTGCGTGTATATATCATGAAATAAATGTTGTATAATAAATTTATACCAAATAAATATATCTTGAATAAAATATTTGGTAGGAAACCAGTCAACACCAGTGGGTCAGACTGGTAGTAACGGTACGATTTTTTAAATAAATTTTGTTACATTTAAAACTATTTTTAATATAAGTAAAAATACATATTTAAATAAAGTGGATATTTATAAATTATTTATCATTTAGTTAAACATTGAAAATATTTAAATTGTTCATATATTTGATTAATATTTTTTAATAAATTTTTTATAATAAGTACTATATATATTAAAATATTAATATTTTAAATTTTGATGCAACTAATAAATCATTGAATAAATAACTTGATCGTTTTGAAAACGGTCCTTTCCTGAGAACTTTGAAATCACCGTACATTAATAAAGTTGTAATGCAATATCATTTTGTTAACATAAATATTAATAAAATAAAATATAACTGCTCATAATTCCTTGAATATGTTGTCACAAAACATTCTTAATATGATTATTTGGAGTATGAACTACATTACATTTATTTTCATAATATATTTTTAATACTAAAAAGTATATTTAGTTCAATAACCGATTTGGTCTGGTCAAATTGACCCATAACTTGGTCACTTAGGATCAACCTCAGTTGTGTCATTGACCCATAACTCGATAGTGTATATCTGCTCAATTTTTTAGAACATTCGATATCAAATTAGTATAGCATTCATTTATATAAGTGAATATAAATTTCATATACTATGTAGATCATTTGCACGGATGATTTATATCCATTTTTAGATTAGTTAAAAAAGCATTTGATATTTATTTGTTTATCAAATAAAGAATATCAATGGTATATATACTTTAAGATTCGATATGCACATTGTTTATTAGTTAAAGAATTTCAATGTATTGTCCGTAAATTTACATATTTAATTATATAAAAGCATATTCAGGACTTTACACATTTAAAATCATATTTCAAAATATTCAAAATTATTTAATTAAACCAAAAAGTCCCATTTAGCAAAGAATATTTTAATACAATTTTCGATTAGCAAAATCGAACATAGCAAAATCGTATATAGATATTAAATAAATAATAATTCTGTTAAAATTAGATTTTTAAATAATATCTTCATAAAACGTGAGATCTTAAAAAATTATATTAATCGATAATGAATATTGATTTAAAAAAAAACATTAAGATAGACAATTGTGAACACTCGATAAACATAAAATTAAATCTCTAAACAATATAATATGGTAGAATTCATTCAAAATAAAAATATCAGGCACAAATATATTTAAATTTTCAAAGTAGATTTACTTCCAAAGGGCATGCCAATAAAATAGGAGAAATCTCGATTTATTTCCAAAACAGATTTATTTACATGCGTAAACTGTACAACAAATGCAAAGTTTGAATTTTGAATTGATTTCTATAAGTGGTAAGTCAAAGGATTTAACCCAAGCTTTTTATCAACTTTCCACAAATGATTTATTTATCATCCTCTTTCAATATATATAGATAAACAAAACCAAACACACATACATAAACATTAAAAAAAAAAAAAAAATTTGAGGCCCCTAAAAATTGGAGGCCCTAGGCATGGGCCTATGGTGCCTCCCCTGTAGAGTCGGCAATGGGTAAAGGTTTGCGACCCTTTCCTTCTCGTGTCTCTCTTTTCCTGGTGTCGAATTGAGGAGACGGCCGGCAAGCCCGGGTAGTGGGCCATGCTGGTTTCGGGCCTGGGTGGCCGGTGGTGTTGGGGTGGATTGGGAAGTGGACCTTCGGTTGTGAATTCGGGGTCTTCTACCTTGGCGTGTGGTTGGGTCGTAAGTTGTAGATCTAGATAGGCGTTTGGCAGTTTCTGGTTTTGCTTCTTGGGGCGTGACTCGGTGCTTGTGGGTGGTCGGCCGCGAGTGTTGCTATCTTGGTTAACTCGGTGGAGATTGTCGACAGTGGAAGGGCTTTATTCTTTTCCAGTAGTATTTTAGTGATTTGTTTTGGGTGTTAGTGTTGTTTAAGTGTTTGT